CAGCCTGCTCACAACAAAGTCTCGTGGAAGATAGGTACAAAAGATGCTAGAACAAAAAGGAAAAGTTGATGTCAGGTCGGTTTTTGTCCGCAACAACAATCGGCCGCTTTTCCCCCGCTTCTGAGGTCAATCTTGTCTTCTTTCTCTACGCACTGGTCTAAGCATACCAGAGGTATACTCGTCTCCAATATGAAGTGACGTTTGCATATAAGTAGGACTAAGGGTTTTGCACAATTTCTTGCAAAGTGTGCTGCTGTCGTGTCTGCAAATTTTCCAAACTACCATTTCAACTCAAGATAATTCAAATGGACGCCGTCCAGGCGTATTGCACTGGATCATGTTTAACATAGCCCCCATAGCCCCGAGATCCTGGTACCTGTTAATGGAGACAGAGGTGTACTATCTGAAATGTGGCCTAGCAAGGAAATAAGGAATAGCAAGCCAAGAGCAACTTCTCCGTTTGCTATTCCATGCTTGATGTAACTGTTTTGAAGAGAAGTAGATGAAGGAGAGATGTCAGGTAATGGAAATCATGTTTCCTTATACACGTAGAATGAAAGCTCTTTATATGTTCTATGGAAGATGATAAACACATTAAATAACCTACAGTGAAGCTAATAATTAAAGGAACAGTGAAGGCAGTTGGAAGAATAACATGTTAGAACATCAATGTTTAACAGATCTAGTAACCAGAGTAGATTTACTTTAATTACTTTACAAGCATTCTACTGTGAGTAATACAGATTTTAAAACAAGAGCAAAAAATGATCAGCGTAGAGCAAGAGCTCCAATTGTTGTGTTGCTTCTAAAGTACAAAAAGGATCCCCGATCCCATATATGTATGTTTGAAAAAGAAAACTCGTCAGAGGTGCGATGCACAAAATTATATGTGCAGGGAAAGGCTTGTCGATTCGTTCGAAGTGCTTGATCTAGGCAGAGAGATCACGAGCGTGCACCTTCTCAGTAACCAGCCAAGAGAAGGTCTCCTTGAGGACCTTGAGGAACTCCTCGGCGCTGAGAGAGTTGAAGTACGCGGTGAGGCTGGTGCCGCTGGGAAGAGTGGCACCTGAGGTGGAGGTGGAGGTGAAGCCAGAGCTGGAGCTGCCAGCAGTGGAGCTAGGGGTGGCGGTAGGAGCCTGGACGTAGCTCTGCTGGGCAGGACTGCTGGTGACGGTGACAGCCTCGGTGGTAGTAGAGGGCTGGTAAACAGTCGCAGAGCTAGTCTGGACAGCAGTGGAGGTCCGAGTGATAGTGGCAGAAGGAGCAGCGGCGGTAGACGAGGCGGAACCAGCGTTGTTGGAGCTGCCAGAAGAAGCACCAGAGTAGAGAGCAGGACCAGGAATGTCATAGGAGCTCAGGCTCTGGTAGATATTGACAAGGATGCCGGCGTCAGTGTCCTTGTAGAGCGCAGTGCCGAGGGTACCTGAAGGCTTGTCGCTGCCACCACCGGTGACCTTAAGGTTGATGCACTGAGGGTAGTTCTGGGCACCGTCCTTGTTTCCAGCGGAGTGGAGGGCAATGATTTCGTGGCGCATGACATAGTTACCAGCGGCGATGGTGCTGGGAACAGTAACGGTCCAGCTGTTGTTGTTGGCGATTAGGTTGTCGGAGGCCCAGGTGCCAGGAACATTAGAGTCACTGGTCAGACCACTCTCATCAATCTTGAAGAATTCCAGGCTGGTCTTGTCAACCGAGGCGCAATCACCATTGCAGTTGGCCATGTAGGTAATGACCTGTACTAAGTTAATACCCTAACCAATTGTTCCATGGATATCTTACGGAGACATACCGGTCCGTGGTGAGATTCAGGCCATTCAGTCCATTGGAATTCAACCTTTCCACCGGCCTTGATCTCGGCAGAGAGGGCAGCATTCTTAGCACTCTTGTGGCAGATGATGTCGCCGCTAGAGTAGCTGCTGCCGTCGACGAAACCCAGATCGGTAGCGGTTTCAGACCAAGCGATGCTGTCAGGAGGGCTGCTCATGTAAGGGTATTGGGTGACCAGGTATCCAGTGTAGTATTTGCCATCGACAACGGCACCGCTCACGTATCCGTGACCAGCGACCAGGGCGGCCGAGCTGAGAAGAACAGCTGCAATCTTAGAGACAGACATGTTGTAGGTTTTATAGTATTGTCCAGACGATCAACGCACAGCGTAATCTTAGTTCGAATCGAACGAGAGACGAGAGAAAGAATGACAAAAATAGGACTTCAGTCAATGAAGTCGATAGAACAGAATGAGAGAATGGAAGGTGCTGAGACCGTGAGAAAGGAATGCTGATGGGAGGAAGAACAGAAGAAAGTTGTCCTCCATTGCGACGAAGACGGCTCTTATATCTCCAGCAAGCTCGAGGAACCTATCTGGACTCGGTTAAGACTCCGAACAGCTATCCAAATTCAAGAAGCCGGTTCTGTAAGGTCCATCGCAGGTATCTACTCCTTACGGTGTGGACACCACTAGATTGCTTGGTAGCGCTCTGTTTGTATTCAAATTCAGGATTATCTGATAGGTGGAGAAAGTCGAGATAGAGCCACCGAGTTAGAGATTAATGAGAACGAGTCGTGTCTGCGGTGGTCGAAGAATGTGTCGGCGTTGAAGCTGCATCAGGGGGTTAATATAGCACTTCCTGGTTGGAAATAGTGGACATGTCACTTGTTACAATCCGAGTTTCATCCCTGCTCTTCTTTATTCATTAGTTCAACGTTTCCCCACTCTGTCTCCATTCCATCCGTGTCAGGAAACCATTATTAAAATGGGTTTTAGGACCCGGTGGATCTGTCATATTCAGCAATACGAGAATAGGTACTTGTTAAGTCGCATTAATCGCTGGTACCTCAATGGAAGATCCATTAACCCCTGACACCGACTCAGGTGCCCATTTTCTTCCATGAACCAATCGGCTATGCTCCGCGATCCACATGGACTTTCATTCCTCTATGTCAAGCTGATAGAGACCAGAAGGAAAAGGCTGGATGAAACAGTCAGACTGGTTCTTGTTGATGCTGTGCGGTCACAGGTGAGTGATGACGGAACCATAAACTGACGATTGAATCTAGTCAGACTGAATGAGCTGAGGGCTACTCAATACAGAGTACTCTATTGCAAAACGCTCTGGCTGGGAAGGATGGAGTGATTGTACTGCCTATCAAGTTATGAACAGATCCGTCTAGCTAGGTCTGGCCATCATGTATCAGATAGGCCATGTTCGGAGAACGCGGTCACTGACGCTTGATCACTATTGTCATGGATGGGCGGTGCTTCATTTACCGGTATTTAGCCGCCAACCCCTCTATATCAGACCATACCAGCACTAGGACTATGACCTTGCTCATTTCCTGAAGCGCCAGTGTTCGTTACTAACCACGTCACTCCTCCAGCCAAGAGCTGCAGTCTGCACTTATTGGTGCAGGGGGCTGGGCTCATGATCAATATACGATGCCCAGACCATCCGAAGATGAAACGCCTACTTGGCTTGAAATGAGGCTTTACTTATTCAGGTGTACCGGGTGCTGTGTGGTCTGAAACGCCCGAATGCTTCGGGTTGCCGTTGGCCTAGTCTGCCTTCTCCTGAATCAACTGCACCCAAAAAGAGGGTTTAGGGTTTTGGATTTCTGACCGAGTCTGTTCCATTCTAATTTCTATCTAGCGTCTGGGCTCTCGCTCTCGCTCTTTTCTCGATCATTTGTCCCCTAAGTTACTACCAGGCAGCGCCTCTTTGAAAAAGTGGAGCTATCTTATAGCGCAAGGGATATTGCATCCCCTTCGTCAAAGTGGGTGGGGAAAGGCAGACGCTTCTCGTCAATCAAATTGAAACCACTTGCGAGGTTTTGCAGGATATGTGACAGGTCTTGACAACAGTTTATCCAAGGATTCGTAGAGGAAACAACAGGAAAGGCATCCATCACTATGCTCGTCATACTGATGCAGGAAAAGAGATATTTATCTCGAAATTATTCCTATGGCCCAGGCTGTGCAGCATTCCATTGCTTAGATTGGATTACAGGCGAAAGGAAAAGCATTCACAAAGGCAATATCGATTGACCCGCGGTTGTATACTCCGTAGCAGGGATTGAATCACCGTGTGCCTGAGAAGGAAGTCGATGCAACTATGTCTCAGATTTTAAGAACTGACCAGGTAGAGTCCACCACTGCGTCCACGCCATGAAGGACGCCCATTGGGTGATCCATCTGATAATCGATTAATCCCACAATTGCCAGACAGGCCAAAGTCTTTAGAAGACGAACTTAATTCTTGGCCGCAAATCTCTTGTAGCAACGCGCCTCTCGTCCTCCAGAGACTAACCTCTCCGGATTCCCAGACTGTTCCTGACGGACACATATATGACCTGGTCTGCTGAATGCAGTGGCAGCAAGGATGATGCAGTCTGGAAGATTAAGGCAGTGGTCTTGCCATGACTTGGAAGTGAGCAAAAGCTTTGGACCCGTGCTCGCCATGGTAGTATACATGTCCTGAGTCCCAAACGCTGCCGAACGGTGGTTCCGGAACGGTGGCATGGGTGATGACTCCGTTCACTGTGACGCCACCGGATATGGTGAGGAAATGACTAGGGCGATTAGCTTGAAACACAGCGATGATTCCAGGACATTGCAGGATATGGACCTACCATGGTCGATCTCCTCATCCTGAGTGAACACGTAGATGGCCAGCGGTCGAGGTAGACTATAACATGGACGATCGGCATCAGCTACCTCAGGTCCTTGATCAGTCCACCGAACCTGTTAATTTTCTCGGTGGCTTCTTAGGTAGTTGAGGTCAGAATGGGACAGATGCTCTCGAACCTACTCGGACAGCAGCGAATCTGGCGATTGTTAGGCTTTTTGAAGAGTAGACTGGTTGACTCAAGAACCTACCAGTCATCTTGACATTGGTGACGACAAACGGCGCGATGCATCGAATTCTCCTGCGTATTCAATCTTTCCTTGACTCTTCTCGAGAAGCCCTTTGAGCCGATCACAATGTTTTGATTGACGATGTTCGTCATGCAATCAGGTCACCCTTGTTGTTGAACTCATTGAAGTAAAAGGTCATCCGCTCGATGAGCTTCTTCTGCACGGAGGGATGTGCAGAAAAGTGGCTGACCGAGAGGCAAATCTGACCCCAGGTGAGATACTTGACACATGCAATATTCTTCGCGGCGTCTTCAATATCCGTAGTTTTGGTGACAATTGCCGGACACTGTCCTCCTAATTCCCGCACTGTCGGCGTGAGATGCTTGCGACTGCTCTGACAACATGACCGGCCACATTGACAGATCCTTAAAGAAGATGTGATCAAGCTTGCGTTCCATCAGGTAGTCATTTCCCCGGAACCCCAGTGACGACTCTAATGGCACTATAATCCATGTACTTGGGGATCAGACGAACCAGGAGATTCTGACGATGTCCGTCTGAATGGCCATGACCTCAGTGAAGGACGTCTTATATGCATGGCGGCCGGGATCTTTGTTTACAACCTTGATGGTGTGGTCCTTATTATCCTCCACAGGCCGCCAAAGCTGCTTGATCTGCCCATTCTCTCCAAGTGAGCTCCTTGGTGCGGCCGGACCGGGGGTCGCTTGCATAGTGTTGTAGGCCTCTTCGACCTCTGCTTCTGAGGTGAAGGGCCCCATAGTGGTGGGGAGTACCGCGAGAAGTGTGTTCTTCTACGTCCCGAGCAGGACCTATTTCAGATTGCAAAGGCGTGCATAGCTGACTATAGGCCCCCATGTGCCTGTTCCTAAGATCGTTGAAATGATCAGAAAAGAGGGGTTTTGGTGAGCCGAAGGCACGGCGTCATTAGATACCGCCAAGTAATCTCAAGATTTATTAATCGGACAGACGGGCTGTCAGATCCACATGCTTGTGCTTCTCTGTACACCTTGTTTTCAAGTGTTATACGCACGACCAAACCAAACTGTTACAGGGCGTCTCTGGACCGATCGCCTCGGCTATGACCTATTGGAAATTTCGGACCAGGATGACGATTGAGATGGACTTCGTTTCGCTTGATTATCACATGCTGTCTAATTGAAGGATCATAGATGAGGTAGAGCATCTTAGTATGGCGGAATGATATAATGATATATGTCTCCGGATGAACTACTGTTTCGGATGTCAAGTGCTATCTCAAGCCACGAACCCCAGACTATACGCATGATCGACTTGAGGGTGGATCCAATCCGGGGCTGTATCATAGGAAAAGTCCAAAATGGCAATCTGACGAAGAGCGAATGAGTAGATAATAATATCGCTCATCCAAGGGATTTCGAGTTCCCATCTCACAAGGTGAAAGTCGGGTGGTAGGAAGGAGGAGAACCTATGAAATATATTGGACAATTTGGACTGGAACTCAATCTTCCTATATCCGCCGTTCACTATATAGAAGTCACGCTTCATTGAGTCGTGACACCAAAGGCACATGGCTCCCACAGTGCGAATAAATACAAGTGACCAAACCTAAGTACCTAGGTCAAACACCCCTGCCGCTGTGCGCATTTCGTAATCCGAGGGCTTTCAGTGGCAGATTACCTATTCGAGGAAACCCACCCAGGGCCGCCTTATCGGAGATAGCTTTTAGAACACACTGGACGATATGCTACAAGTAAGTACAACACGGTTGGGTTGATATTCATACTAGATATTGGCCTGGATGGCTAGGATATCACGCAGACAGTGCATACCGATCAGATTAGTAGGGTCGTACAATAACTGTCCTACATTTCTCGGCAAGGAACAAAAGATGACTTGGTAGGGTCGCTAGCAATGCGGTTATCCAGGTAGATTTTTCCCTGTCATGGTCTTTCCTCGAGACTATCCCCATGATCTTTAACGATTGATGCCAGGCTAGATCATTGCGAGTTGCGAGAGTTTTGACAGCTCTGTTGTACATCATCCGTGTAATCTATGCTCCGTAGATACGCCTCGCAGGGTCATTGGAGGCGACTGACTAGGAGGAATGCATGATAAGTAGGCGTCCCGTGTTAACCCACTCATCGAACCCCCTGCTGTCGATGCATACGTTCAAGAAACCACATGCGGAGAAGACACAAGATAGAAGAACGAGAAGTAATGAAGGCTTTAAAATGAAATTATCCGTTATGAAAGCCAAAGTCTGAAGCGATAGATTATGCTCGCGAAGTTATGTACATGTAGTGAGGATTAGACAGTCGCAGCCAAGGCCAATCATAATCTGGTAGCCTACAGACTGACCAACCTGAAATAGGATTAGCGCAGTCATGGAGTGGCGGAGGAGTCATCCATAGGTGCCTGAGTTTTCTGGCTGGCAGAATTTTTGGCCGTTCCGGGAAAGGAGCCAGGTAGACCCGACGACTACGACTAGGTAGAATACGCTACAGGCTCAAACCAACCCCCTTTCCTCTGCGGTGAATCAGGTCCTTATCATCAACTACCTAAGCTAGTTCTCTGCTTCAGTGTTGTTCCTCAGTCAGTGTGTCATTACACTGTCCTTCTCTAGTCACTGTAAGAGTTTTTTATAGACCATCCCCTCTCTCCAAACTCCCTTCGTCCCCCGAGACGATCGCCCCTCCAGTTTTTCCCTCCCTTTTCCACGCCCTCAACAAGAACCGATCGCGTGCTATTACCGCGCCTCTCAATTCCCTACGCTGCGGCGGTCACGATCAACATTTGACAAGGGCCATCTAGTGGTTATCTGTACAATAACGAATTCGTCGCTCTTTCTTGATCGCCATCTTGTGATTCGGTTCGATGGCTTGGAGACGGTACTGTTAGGAAGTTCGATTTCACCAAGTGAGACGAGTTTTGCGGTCGGATCTTAGAGACCCGCGTGCCATCCCTTGAACTTCTATCTTCGAGTCTTGCACCTTGGTATTGGAAGCACGCTGCGAAGATTTGGGCGTATTCAACAGTGGCCCCCTGGCTTTCCGCTCCGTGATCCTGGAACCAATGATGGGACCTGTGGAGGCTGCCTCATCTCCCGTATTTCCCTCACTGGATCCCATTGTCGTCGATGATGAGATGGAAAATCCGTATCAAGATACCGATTTAAGCTTTCTCGACTCTACGAGACTACAGATGAACGAGGCCGCCGGCCAGGAATTCGACGATCTCTTTGCCCGTTCCCACTCCTCCCGCACGGTCACCGACTCGGAATCTTTGTGTTTGTCGCCCTCAGAACTCTCCATAAAGAGACACTTTCAGGAACATGATGCGCTGAGGCAACCCAAGATCGTTGCTTCAGACTCCCCTGCCGAATCCCTGGATAACTCGAGTCCCAGTTCTTCGTCCGATTCTCCGCGGAATCACATTCGAAACACCTCCGTGGCCTCGTCCACTTCCGTTACTCATAGCGATCACGCCAACATAATGCCATTTGGCTACGCAACTGAAGATTGGATCAACTCGGAGCTCGGTTCAATGAAGGAGGACACATCGATGTTTGGCTTTGATCCTTCCTTACCGGCCATGGATGGTGTTTTCCCCATCGAAACCGACCTCGAATCCAGCAACAAGGCGATGGACGCCGCTTTCGATTTTGAAAGCGCAGCCAGTAGCCCCAGTGCCCTGAAGACTGACTCGACCGCTCAGCCAAAGACGCAGAAGCGACTGAAGTCGCAAATGCGGGGGACGTCTCATTCCACCTCGAGGCAATTAGCTTCTCCGGTATGTACCTAGACTCTCATTCTTCCTCGTCCCTTTACTAATTCTCCTCGTAGCAATTTCGCAATTCGACCTCTCCTTTCACAATGGGCAAAATGCCTGGTCAAAGCAGGTCGTCATCAAGCCAATGGCCGGGACAATCACCGTCGTCGCTTTTGGAGGAAAGTTTTGGCGGCATTAACATGAACGGCGGATCTCCACTGAACGGAAACTTCAACTTTGCGTCAAATGGGTTTCCTTTCGGCATCAACTTTGCGCCGTCTCCCCCTCAGAACAATATGAAAGCGGAAACGACTCAGCGTCATGTCCTCACCGTTCATCCCACCTCACTAAAATCCCGCGTAGAAACCCAAATTCCCATCCGGTTGACTCTCTATCCGATGCCCTCGGGCGTCAAGAAATTACGACTGCCCACACACACCATCTCGAAGCCGAAATTCCTTGCTCCTGCGTCTGCCGATCGTTCGGCTGATACCTTGCAACTGCATACGAGTCTTGTCTGCACTAGCGCGATGCAGGACCAGACGAAACTGAGAAAGGCATTTGCCCGAGCAAGGGGCGAGACGCGGTACCGCACCTCGAGCTCTAGCCCAAATGCCACGGAAGAGTTGCCAGAAGATGACAAGCCCTTGGACGGCGGGGAGGTGAGAATCTGTGCTGGATGCATACAGCGTGAACGGAAGCGCGCGTTCAGAAAGAAGCAGAGAAAGCCCGAGGAGGACGAGTTGTTTCAAAAGGACGAGGAGAAGCGAGTCATCGTCTTCAACACCAACGAGATCAAAGATTGGGCGGAGCCCTCCAAGCATGCCATGCCAGGCTACACTGATGCCCCTGCGCCAGTTATTCCGGCTGGAGCAATGCAAGTCGAGCTTCCAATGCGAATTGCATGCTACTGCAGGCACCAGAATGAAAAGCTCGGTTTCCAGGTCATTTTCACAGTCAAAGACCATTTGGATAATGTCATTGCCCAGGCAATCACAAACTCCATCATGATCACGGATGATCACAAGACGCACGCTCCCCCGGCTCCTCCCGCCCCGGGCCCTTCTCCGTCTCTCCCTGACGGGACACAATTGCCCGGAGTAGGAGTGTTTCCGTCAGGCCCTCCCGTCGAAACCGCCAAGTCGTCAACCCCGTCCCAGCAGTCGTTCCGATCATCCTCGACTACGGATCTGCAAGGTCTTCAGCAACGGTTCAACTCGCAGTATCAAATGCCGACAGGCTCCTTCGCTGTCGCCGCTCAGAACGGCCATAACGGCCAGAAGAACGCCTCCACAAACTCGCACACACCCCGCAGTCTTTCGCGACAGACTTCGCCGAACGACTTCCCAGGACCTACGACCAAGCGACGGAAACACAGCAATTCCGGTCGTCTTCCGTCCGAATTGACCATGACCAAGCTTGAGAACGGACAGTCATCAGCGGGTGGGACCAATTCAGGAGTTTTAGGAAACGAAACTCCTTTCAATGCGGCGCGTGGTTTTGCGTCCCCGGCGGAGAGGCCGTTTGTAACGTCCTCGGCCATGTCGGGTCAGTTGGCCAACGGCCCACCGACGCCCAATAGCGGAGACAACAATCATTTTTTCAATCCCAGCGCGGCCCAGACCAGCTTGGATACATTCATTCAGCAGCAGTTGATGTCGGCGCCAAACTCGGCTCAGCCTAGCCGCCCTGGAACGCCTGGTAACTCAGCCCGTCACGGATTTCAAGATCAGTCCCTCAACCTCTCATTAGGCTCAAGCACGGCCACTTCCGCTTGGCCTCCTCTCACAAATGCTGGTAACCGGTTGCCTTCTGTTATTCACAAGGTTGTCCCGGCGGAAGGCTCCATCACCGGAGGCACAGAAGTGACGCTGTTAGGAAGTGGTTTCTACCCTGGTATGGAGGTCGTCTTTGGTGATACCCTAGCCACAACGACGACGTTCTGGGGCGATAAGTGCCTGAATTGCTTGACTCCGCCAGCCCTCCAGCCTGGCATGGTTGCTGTGGTGTT